CGTGGCGTTTAAACGGACATGACGATAGTTATAGCGCGAGAACAAAACGACGACACAGAGACAAGAAGGACACGACGTCTTTCGTGTCCTTGTCCCTGTGTCGTCATTTTGTTCTCGCGCTATAACTATCGTCATGCCATACCAACTAGCCCAAGCTGCCACACTTCTAAGTATAAACGGGATCTCGAAAACAACAGCTTTCAAAGCAATAAAATAAGCGGCTGCAATATATAGTTGCGGGAGGAAGTCGCGTAAGTTTGAACAAAAGAAGCGAAGTGCTGGCTAAGCACATCAAAAAGAAAAGGCAAGTGGCGCATGCGTACGGCGAACGGAAATCGCTGCTCGAAACGAGTCACCGATATGACGCTGCTGTGTATGTGAAGGTCGCTTGAGCACGCCCGGCTTTGCATCTGCAGCGGCGTAGTGTATAGTGCGCTCATGCACGGACGAAAGGTGTACGCAGTTTATACAAGGCACCGGTGTTACGACAACCAGACCACGCGCAGTTTAAAAACTATGGATGCGCACGAACGGGATGCCTGTCTGCAGCAGTCAAACCGCGAACTTACGCGTGGAAGTTCATTAAACTGCTGATCACATAGCGCTTGTTCTGTACATGGTATGCAGTTGGCGTGGTGACCTGCAGTGTTCAGGACGTAGAGGTTACGTCCTAAGATCACGATGCAATTATGAGAGACGCCGCAGTAAAAGGGCTTCAGACATTCGAGAATGTGGTGTTGAGGTGTACTAGAATTGCAGGTAATGAGGTCTTCAGCATTTTACCGCCACCGAGATGCGAATTCCGTAGCCGGAATCGAATCCGCAACCTTTGGGTCAGCAGGCAATCACCGGAACAACTGTTCCACCGAGGCGGGCGCAAACTCGCACGAAATAAGAAATGGTCATGGGAAGAAATCCACGGGAAACCAGCCGTATGCGCGGTGACCCTATAGTTGTTGAAAAGTGGGCCAGACACTTTGCAAGTATTCGATGGGTAGCCGAGCGCCACCGAAAATTGTAACCGATCAAACTACGTATACCGAGTCGCGATACCTGTTGTAGAAGTTCCTGGTCCGATGAAGCGTAGAATGCTTTGGTGCTTACAAATCGACCCTCAGTCGTGTCGGTCTGCACACCCCGAACTGGAGAGAACAAAAGCAACCGCGACGGTCTTGCCAACCTCATGCACGAGACTATCTTAATTTCAGAGTAATTTACTGTAAAGTCAACGCCGTAGTTATTTTACGCTGCAGAAAACAGTTGAAGGTTGTTGTGGTAAGTTAATAATGACTTACAGTTTTCCGTATGCAGCAGTTGCCACTACCTGGAAAACGTGGAGCCATGAAATAAAGTAAGGAATACGACGGTGTACAGGGATGTCTGGAGTATACCGACTGTACAAAGTATATGACGGGCATTGAACAACAGAGGAACGCGTAGTAGAGTCGGAAACCGGTCACTAAAGTCATTGGGCCACAGAAAGAATGGAATTAAGATGCAATCCGACGCGCGTAAAACAGTGCTGGAACCATTCAGCCGGGAGGAACGAGGTACAATTACAAAGAGCCAAGAAGCTACATGAAACATGCTGGGTGTAGCAAGCAATGCCCCTTGGCCGTGGTCATCTGGGTGGGGCTATTTCTTAGCGAAGCTTAAAGCCAGAAATACCGATGGCGGTGTGCATGGATCGAAAAGACTGCGAGTAACTATAAATAGATGTGGTAGACCACGTCGTTTGCACTGGTTTTTTTTTTTTTTTTTTTACGAAACGCTGAAGCGCCGTCTGCTGATGCGCAGCTAGTTCATATATATATTTTTGCGACTTTATCTTTGTTGTGCACGATAATGCGCAGGCTGGCAGCCAACAGGGCGGAACGCCAGAGCGCGATTATAGTGATTGCGGCGAAAGCCAGGGGAAGCGGGCTATAACGGTAGCCATGGAAACATGGCAACCGGGGTCATCCAAAGCAAACTGGGTGCGTGGAAATTGTTGCGACTGCTCTTACAGGACAAAAGAGCAACACCTGCGGATGCTTTGCTGCCGAGAGCAAGGCCTGACGTCAGTGCACGTGTTGTAGGCAGATGGTACTTGAAAAAGGAATAAAATACAAAACAGAACTGTGACTGCATCAGAGCAATTCTGACTGTGTTCTGACACACGCGCAATTCTGACACACGCGTAATGTTAATCTGCGTATCTTACTCTGCAACATTAGGAACAGTGCCCATCACTCGAATGGCAAACATAAATCGTTTAAACAACCAAGATTAGGCATAGGAATAACTTGAAAATACATGTACACACGTAAGTAAAAAAGAAAACGAAATTCAGTTGCTAAATAGTTAGGGGAACGATGGGCAGTACACGATGGGCAGTACACGATGGGCAGTACACGCGCAATTCTGACACACGCGTAATGTTAATCTGCGTATCTTACTCTGCAACATTAGGAACAGTGCCCATCACTCGAATGGCAAACATAAATCGTTTAAACAACCAAGATTAGGCATAGGAATAACTTGAAAATACATGTACACACGTAAGTAAAAAAGAAAACGAAATTCAGTTGCTAAATAGTTAGGGGAACGATGGGCAGTACACGAGCTCTCTCGTAATTCGGTCGCGCTTCGTTAAGAATGCCACTGAGACTCATCGTAAAGCATTTAAATGGTACGTCTCACAGTATGTAGACGACATCAGTATAAATGTTCAAATAATGAAGTCAAGGCTGCAGATATCGAAATGGCACGTACTTAAAAGCTCGGAAACGTGGGGCAATAATTAAGCAGCGATACGGAGCAAATCAACTTGGCCTATGGGCTTTTAGTGCTACCTGCGATCTCTAGAACGTAGGAACTATGCTAAAGTTGTATCGAGAATCAAAATCGAGAAGGAACCAAATTGAGCCGGTGTGCAGGACAGTTCGAGAGTGCGCAGTGCAGAATAGCGCAAGCAATGGAAATGTCAAAGAAGGAAGAAAGGAGGTGCTCAGTCAGTCGAAAGGCTGATCCCTCCCTGTGTTGTCGGTGGCAACTTTAGATTGGGAAGCGCGGTCACTAGTGGAGGGTTTCGAAAATGTGAACCATCGTTACCGTACACCAACATCGCACACTACTCGGGCTCCTATGGCATTTCGCGTCCATCGAAATGCGATCGTCATGGCCGAGATCGAACCCGCAAGTTCAGAGCCAGCAGCCAAACACCTCAACCACGACAACACCGACTGACAGCTTTTTGGCATGACAGCTTTTTGGCAGCTTTTTGGCAGCTTTTTGACAGCTTTTTGGCAAGCAAAGCAACGTACACGTAACGTTAGTCTTTCGCTCAGATGCATTTATTAAGAAGAGCTGAAATGAAATGGAAAATCGAAATTGCCAATTGTCGGCCTGAGTATAACCGAAGCACACGAGCTTAACTAGCTTTGAATCACGTACCCTCTGTTCGATTGTGGTCTCTGAACTGCAGACATTACGCTTAAAAGTGTCAAGAGCTATAGAGCAGACAGGCAATTTTCGCGCAGGAGCTACCGTGGGAACCACTTTCATGTTTATTCATAGACAAAAACCACAGATAAAAAAATGGCGTGAGGCAAGACTAATCGTTGTCGTCAATTTAGGGCATAATCTGGGGTACGATTACAAAACGTGTATGGAATCTGTGGCAGTCTAGCCCACGGCCGGACTAGAAAAGTGGCACGTGCGCACTCTCTAGCGCAGCCGTGCCTATAGCCTTAAGAATTCTTACAATTTGTCCAAGCACGCGCAGATGTGTGCCATGGAAAATAGCACCGAAGTCGTAATATATTGGTTGATATTGATATGTGGGGTTTGAAGTACAGAAAAGTACCATACGATTATGAGAGACGTCGTAGTAGAGGGTTCCGGAAATTTCAACCACCTGGTGTTCTTTAACGAGCACCAGATCTGAGCACACGGGCCTAGAACATTTCCGCCTCAAGTCGTAATATATTAAGTAAACAGGAAAATTTATACCGAGTTTTTTTTTTAATTTGAAATTCAGCTTCCTGGAAGAAAACAGGCAATGTTTCCACACTGCAGTGATGCTGCAGAGGAAGGGTTTCCCCGTTTTGTGAACGCTTTGCACAATAATGAACACCAATGTTCCCGACGGCCTTCGTACATATCCGAAGCAAGACCAAGGGGCGGCAACCCCATACTGTTTACAGTAGAACCCAGGAAGGCTAGGAGGGAGGTGCATACGTGACGTAATTCGACCGAAAAGCCGCTTAAAGCTTGCGACTGCGCACAATGCTATTAGCGCAGAACGGCAGCAACTTATTTTTGCGCGGGAGCTAGCTGCCACCGTGGGAAGCACTTGAATGGTTGTTATCAAAAAAAAAAAAAAAAGCGAGAGGAGAAACGGTAATTAGCGAAAGATGAAGTCTCTCCCAAATGACTAGCACCATGGATGCTAGCAGCTTGCGCGCAATAAAATTCATCACCGAAAAAAAAGGGGGGGTGGGGTGCGTTCGGCTACGCAGAGAATCAAGTTGACATGAGTAATAACGTGACACGCGTATGCGCTTCTTGAAGCTCATCTATTGAGCACCTATTTAACGTCTTCACTTAGCAAAAGCGATGCCTAAGCAGAATTGGTGATGACAATGTCTACAAAACAGGGCTTTTGACGGGCACTCACTTAATTAGCAACCATGTTTACTCTTTTCTCGACTCCTGCTATGAATAGCGCCGGGTAGAACTGATTTATTCGTGCGAATTCCTGTCACTAAATGATTCCGAGCAGAAAATGTTGACGCTACTATGCCTGCGCTCTTCATTTGACACCCATCGTTTGCCGCTGTTCCTGCATATTGGGCGTCACGAACCAATTAAGATGTCAAAGCCTTCACCTCCAATTTTCGCGAGTGCTGGATGTTCCCTTAACCTTACAGAATGGTGTTTTTACAGCAGAAAAATCCTGTTTAGTCTGCATAATTAAATTAATCGATTATAAATATTTTGGTCGGTGCTACGCTTACCTCCTGCACGAAGAACAATTGCATGAAGACAGAGCCCGGCGCATAGCACACAGCACGACGCTCCACGGTCCGTGTTACGTGCAACACGCACAGCAGCACTAGTAGAGACCGGGATAAGCACCGGCACGCGATTCCCGAGTGCATGGCGTCTGCTACGAGGTCACCAGCGCTGTTCAACAAACACGGTCACGCCCACCGCGTCTCTCGCTGCTGCAACGGGTGACCCGTCGCTGCGATTTCCACTACGCAGCGCCGCCAAGTCGTCGCTGTCACGCCGCCAAGTCGTCGTCTCGTCGCACAGCCGTCGCCACGGCACCGGTGTGGTCGTCGTTCTGGAGCAGCGCTGTCCTGCTTTCTCCGCTGCCTTTCGCGAACGCGGCCATATTTAAAGCCTCGCCCGCGCCCTCTTTGTCTCTTTTGCGTACGTCACCGAGCTGACGGGAAAGAGGGCACGCTACTCTCTTCCGTGCCAGAACAACCTCCTCCTCTTCCGGGTCGGCTCTTTGTCGTTTGCATGGTTCTCGGTTTTCTCCGTTTGGTTGAATGATTTGTCGTCGTTTTTCACCCCGTCGCCATGGCTCACGCCCTCTGTGGGGGACTGACCAAGAGTTGGGGTGTTTTATACACTACAGCACAGCTGTCATGCTCGTTAGTTTGGTTGTGTTAAAGATACAAATTAATTATCATCATCACAAACTCAATGACCACCCCAGTTTTGTGTACAGATGTTCAACTAGAGAGACTGAAACGTGCCCACCAGCTCTGCAGGGACCCAGCCTTACGCGACTAAGTGCAAGCTGTGCTAATTTTTATTGAAAATTTAATGATGGGGTAATGTAAGGAGTAGATATACTTAAAATTTAGAGATGAGATAACACTTAGAAAAAACAAAATTCCTTCATCAAGCTTTGTGAAGCATAACAAATGAAAATGAGCGTTTTATACACCTATTAGTACACAAAGGCAGGTCAACCTCATAGCAGGGTAAACTGCTGGTTTAATTAAGATATTCTATTTAGAGGAGGTTTTCTGTTCTTTCACAGTTAACTTTTGCTTTCTGTAGCCTGTTGCTGAGCGAAATTTCTGTACAAGATTGAAGGAGGACAGCGTGTGTGGGACTCTCTTCAAGTACATATAAATACTTTTTACACACTGCACACACCCTCTTGAAGTTTCAAAAACGTATATCGAAGGCACCATTGTAAATAGGTAGTGACAAATCAATTATTCGTTCACTAAAGATACCAAGGAACGACGTGTTCGTATTTATTTATTTAGTTACTTAATAATTATTGAACATTTAGTTAAATATTAAAATAATTAGTTGGTAAAATTTAACTTATTAACCGATAAGTATTATTAATTATCATAGCACCCACAGTGCCCTAGTGCATTGCAGGAGGAGGGCATACAATATTTCAATACAAAATTCACATGTCAACACTTCAACAATACAATCAAAAGGCGATATACTGCGCAGTTCCGTAGTGGCACATGAGAGTACCCACTGTAAAGCAGGTTCAGAATACCGTTTAGCACTGCAGGGTCTGCAGTGATCTTGTTTTTAATATTATATTCTTACTCAGACCATATGACTCAGAATGTCCCAATAATAATAATAATAATAATAATAATAATAATAATAATAATAATAATAATAATAATAATAATAATAATAATAATAATAATAATAATAATAATAATAATAATAATAATAATAATGTAGTGGAGCATACGCACTAACGTGTATGCGCCTTCCAAAGAGAAGGAAAAACCCCGTGCTCTGATTGCACGAGAACCTGGGCCGCCTTTTGCCAGACTTGTCGTACGGCCATTTTTCGTTGCGACATCGTTGCGACTTCTCCGGTTCAATAAACGTCATCACATTTGGTGGAGGCTGCTGAGATCCCCAAGCAGACCTGGAGCTCCGCTCTCGCAAGTTGCCCGAGAGACCACTGCAAAACATGACTGACGCAGTCGCCAACCAGCCCATCCCAGCCCAGCCAGCACCACCGGCTGTCCCGTCTACCTGCCCCGGCGCTACTCGCCAACGAGACCCACCAATCTTCAGCGGCAGTGGCGAGCAAGACGTCGAGGACTGGCTCTCCTTGTACGAACGCGTAAGCGCCAGTAACAAGTGGGACAACGACTCTAAGCTCGCCTACGTTATATTTTACTTGGCAGACGTAGCTAAACTTTGGTTTCCGAACCGCGAAACCGCCATCGCCAACTGGTCTTCCTTTAAGACACTCGTCACTGAAGCGTTCGGCCGACCAGAGGTCCGCAAGCTCCGCGCTGACCAGCGCCTGCGCCACCGAGCCCAGCAGCCTGGCGAGACGTTTACTAGTTACATAGAGGACGTGCTCGACCTCTGCAAGCGTGTGAATCCATCTATGCCCGAAGAAGAAAAAATTCGGCAGATTCTCAAGGGCATCGAGGATGGCGCATTCCAGATGTTGCTAGCGAAAAGCCCGAACACGGTGGCAATCCTCGTAAGCCTCTGCCAGAGCTTTGATGAATTGCGCCGTCAGCGTTCCATCGCCCGACAGAGTGTCCTACCGCCGGATTCGATCTCGGCCGTCACACTCACAAATGCCAACGTTTGCAAAGAAAGTCTGTCCAACCAGATCAAAGACTTCATCAGGGAGGAAGTCGCCCGACAGCTCTCCCTGCTGCCGCATAGCGACGCGCCCACCGCAAGCCTGCCTACGACACTGCAGCAGGCCATACGCACGGAAATTTGTGATGTCCTCCCTACAGTGCAGGCCCCTTACCCGTGCACTTCAGTAGCGCCTAATCTCTCAGCTGTCGGCTACGCACCACCTGCACCACCTTCACCTCTCAGCTACGCAGCTGTGGTCGCGCGGCCCCTGTTCTGTTTTACGCGCTCATCAAAGACACAACCACACGAGACGCTAGCTAGCAAGGGACTGTTTATTGATGGCTGCCGCGCCGCGCGCGCGCCCTCTCTCAAGGTGGCCAGGTGAGGTGGGATCATCCCGATTTATTAAGCGGTGGCCCGCCTGGTACATCCTCCTTTTTCTTTAGGTGATGTAGTCGGCAAAGCGCGTCGGTGCTCTACGTGGCCTAGTTGATCTTCTGAGACTCGAGTCGGCTGCTTCTTGTGCCTGGCAAGTGACCTTATGCTGGGACGGGACCACGTCGGGGTCCCTTGATGGTTGACTTGCAATGGGTGGTGCACGTGCAGCTGACTGGTTCAGTAGAGCATCCGATGCAGGCGCCTGTTGTGACGGATGTCGTTCCTTTCGTGATGCGGATGCTGTTGTCAAATCGGGCGCTGTATCTGATGTTGAATGTTGTCTATGCTGTATAGGCGACGGGATTGTCGGTGCGACATCCTTGTCATCCAGTGGGTCTAAGTGTTCGGGCGTCCTTTTTAGATGCTGACGATTCCTTCGATAACGCCGGCCTTCATCTGTACAGACTATGTAAGATCTAGGGCCAGCAAGTTTCTCTACTCGGGCTTTCGGAAACCACCCCTTGTCGTTTCTTATTCTGACGACGTCCCCTTCGGAGAGAGGTGTGAGAGGTATGCCTTTGCAGTGATCCTGTGGATGTTTCCGCACTGACGATGTCGAAGCCGATGAGAAGTCTGGAAGTCGTCCCCGAAGCATCCGTCCCATAAGGAGCTGACTTGGTGTGCGTCCGTCTATCAGGGGCGAGATTCGATAATTGAGCAGTGCAACCCAAAACTCCTCGCCAGCGTACTCACTTTTCTTCAAGAGGCGCTTTACGACCTGTACCCCTTTCTCAGCTAGACCATTGGCCCTGGGGAAGTGTGGACTGGATATGGTATGAGTAAAATCGTATTTTACTGCAAACTGTCTAAACTCTCGCGATGTGAACTGTGGTCCTCCATCGGTACAGACTTCAATGGGTATACCGTGGCGAGCAAACATGGTCCCTAGTGTGTCCACTACGACCTGACTTGTTGACTGAGGCAACTGTTCCACTTCTGGGTAGTTGGAGTAGGCACAGTACGCAACCAGGTAACGCTTGCCCCCATGGTCAAATAGGTCGACACCAATTCGCTGCCACGGCCGCGTTGGGATTTCCCTCGATAACAGTGGCTCTGAAGGTTGCCGGTAGGCAAAGTGCTGACATGTGGCACACTTGCTAATGAGTGACTTGATGTCAGCATTCATCCCAGGCCAGTACATCAGAAGGCGTGCTCTGGCTTTGCACTTGCTCATTCCCAAATGGCCTTCATGAAGACGTTGCAGCATGGATCGCCTCAGACTCTTTGGGATTACCACCCTGCTGCCCCGCAAAAGCACTCCATCAACAAATGACAGTTCTGACAGACATGGAGCTAGTTCGCCTGAGACTGGTCGTCCTTCCTGGAGTGCCTCCACCACTTGCTTGAGGTATGGGTCCGCCAGGATTGCAGAGGTCAGTTCAGTCTTCGTGTTCTCACTTACGATGCTGGCTAGCACGCGAGTCGCATGGATGCATACGTCTTGTTCGCTTTCTCCGTCACTCGGTTGGGTTCCTGGAATTCGGGACAGCGTGTCCGCCACTAGCAGATGCTTCCCAGGAACATACTGCAATTTGATATCAAAAGGCATTAGCCTCAAGAAATAGCGCTGCAATCGTGGCGGCATTTCACTCAGGTTCTTTTGTGAAATAGCAAGCAAAGGTCGGTGGTCTGTTTCGACTGTCACTGATAACCCCAGTACGAACTCCCGGAAACGCTCACAAGCAAACGTCACGGCCAGCGCTTCCTTTTCAATTTGGGCATATTTTGTTTCAGCCTTTGAGAGCACCCTTGAAGCATAACCCACTGGGCGCCAATCTTGGTCATGGAGTTGAAGAAGAGCAGCACCTACTGCAAAGCTTGATGCATCAGCTGAGAGTTTCGTTTGCTTCAATGGGTCAAAAACTGCGATCACTGGAGCCGATGTCAAAGCCTTAATAAGATCTTTCCATTCTTTGTCATGGTGAACTTCCCATATGAATTCAACATCATTCTTTATCAATGACCTAAGGGCGTCAGTTCTTTTTGAGAGATTAGGTATGAATTTGCCAAAGTAATTCATAATACCTAAAAACCTTTGAACTTCCTGTTTACTCGACGGCTTTTGCATGTTGGCAACGCATTCAATGAGACTAGCATCGGGTTTTATTCCTTCTTTGCTGATACAATCTCCCAGGAATTTAACTTCGGCCTTCGCGAACAGACACTTTTCTTTGTTCAGTGTCAGGCCAGCCTTTCTCGCTGCCATCAGTGCTGCACGCAGGCGTTGATCATGCTGCTCTTTTGATGCACCCCAAATTAAAATATCATCGACATATACGCGTGTGCCCGGCAGGTTTTCAAACACTTCCGTCATTGCCTTCTGAA